ATTCTTCTCCCCATGGACTCGGATACTGGAGCGAGGATGGGTCCCCCTCTGATTTCGTGCGCGATCTAGCCAATCTGAGCCCGGATGCTAATTAGTTGCGCTCCCCCGATGAACACGCCTTTGTCGCATGTAGGGCCGGACTACAAAGCCCAGAATGCCTCGCCCCTCCCTGATCAATGAGGGCTTATTTAAATGATCTCTGAGGTCTTGGACCCAGGCCAATCAGCTGTCAGGGCTCATGATAAATCGCAATGCATTATTGATAATAATAATTACTGGGACATGCGCGTTCTGGCCGAAGGGGGGTAAATTTCCCAACTCCAGGAATTTGTGGCGGAGTGGGCAAATCACCGCGGCTCTCCAGGCGGCCCGATGCTCGCACCATGTCGAGGCGCAAGCAAGCGAAACCCCAGCACATCAACTCCGAGGAGGACCAGGGCGAGCAGCCGCCGCAGCAGCCGGCCGCCGAGTTCGCGGATGCGGCCCCAGCGGCGCCGGCGGCCGCGGAGCCGGGTGAGCGGGGCCGGGGGCGCGCGCCGGGGGCGTGCGGGGTCGCGGGTGTCCGCGGGACCCTCCAAGGCGCGAGCCTGGGCGGGGGCGGGGGGGGGGGCGCGCGGCTTCCAGCGCAGATTCTGGAACCAAGATCCGGGGGCTCCGTCCTAGAGCAGAGTCACCCTCACCCCCCCACCCCCCGCACCCCTCCCTTGTTAATTTTACACTTTGGCCGCTTCCCTCTCGTGTAAGTTTCGCCCCCAGGTCTCGCTCCTCTTGTAAGAGTGACCCCCCACCCCCACCCCCTCTGCCCCTCTTACTCCTGAGAGGTTCCCTTCTCGTTCCCGGCCGCTCTCTTAATTGGTTCCACTCCCCTCGCTGGTAACCTCCCCCCCACTTGTAACTTAGGTTCCCTCCCTCCCTGGCGCCGCTTTTAAAAGAAAGACCCCGAGGGTCCCCACCTTTTCCTTCGCCCCTGGGGGTCTTTTCTTGGAGGCTCGACCAGGGGCGCACCCCTGGAAGACCCCCCCGGCGGGAGGGCGATCTGTTGCGCGCGCCCCTCGCGGGCCGAGCGGGGGGAGGGGGCGCGACCTCTCCCCACCTCCGGGAGCTGGGGTGCGGGCCCCCCGCTCTGTGGAGGGGATCGGAGGGCCCGAGGAGGTGGCGGAGAAGGGCACAGGGTTGCCCCCTTTCGAAATTTATTTGGGGTTTTGACTTTTTCTCCCTGGGCTTTGCCGCCTCCCGATCTTCGCCCTAACCTTTGGGGCCTGACCTCCAGCCATCTTTGATTTCCGACTTCCTAAAAATAACCGAGGCGAGCGGGAGGGGTGCAGGCCCCCAGGGGTCGGGGGCGCGGGCGCGCGGGCGCCCCTCCGGGGTGCACCCGCCTGGCGTTTTGCGGGGCTTTTCTGGGGCGCCCGGCTTGCAGCAGCGCGCCCCAGGGGCCAGAGGGGAGAGGTCGGGCCGCGGCTGGGCGGGCGAGCTCGCGGGGTGACCCGCCCCACGCGTCCGCCGCGAGCGTCTGCGGGGTCGCGAGGCGTTCGGGACCCCCGCCCCGCCGGGAGCGGCCGGGCCAGCTCCCCTCCTCCTGGTCACTTGGCCGAGGAGGTTGTAGAAGCGAGTCGAGCGCCCACCGTCCCCCCCCGACCTGGCCCGCCAAATTGTCGCCTGATAAGTTTTTCGCGTCCGCGTGGGGGGAGGGGGCGTTGTAGACCTCGCCGCCGGCCGGGGTGTGCGCGGCCGCCCCGGGCGCTCGGAGCCACGGCTCCGCTGGCAAGACTGGCGCTACTTTTCGGCCACCTTCCCTTTTTTTCGGGAAGGGAGTGTGATAACGTTTTCCAAGGTTGTAAGAGGTCCATGCAGTTCCCTTCTTTCCCCGCAAATAACATTTTTCCAGGGCAACGTAGAGAGATTGGCTTCGCCGGGGGAGGTTGTGCGTTTTCGGGGCGTCTGATGGCCAGGGCTGCGCGCACCCGAGGGCCCAGGAGGATGGGCTCTCTTTGTGCCTCGGGTGGGGGGGGCTGTGGGGGGGAGCATGGTGAGGCTCGTCGCCTGGCCCACCTGGAACAAAAGGGTTAACCCTCTGCCCGCCCGCTTCCTCCCAAGAGGAGGGGCGAGCTCCGGGCTCTGACCCCTCCCCTGGTTCTGCGCTGACCTCCCCATTCTCCCACCCCCTTCGTTTTTGGTGGGCGCACGCAAGTGGAGCTTTGCGAGTTGTTTAGCACCTTTTGGGGGGGGGGGTTGTGACAGGGTGGTTTCTTAAGTGAACGCTGGTTGAAGTTTGCAATCCGTGAGCCCGAGCTAGGCGTAGGGTCTCTGGCCTGGCTGTGCGCTACCTCCACGATTTGGGAGGGGGTGGGTTCACTATTGATCGTGGGGTCGGAGCGGACCGCCGGGTTGCGCGCGGGCGCCCCCTGGAGGCCCAGCTTGGAGCGGCACGCTGTGCTGAGAGGCGGGTCCCCTCGCAGGTACCGGCTCGCACCTGATGGTTGGGATGGGTCGGGGGCTGGAGATGGAGAGCGCTGGGCTGGGCCAACGGGTGGGCGCCCCTGGGGACTTAGGCCAGTTGCTAGCGCGATCCCTGGCCGAAGCTGGTGTTCTTTGCCAGGTCTTTGGAATTCTTGAAAAGAAGTCCTCGATCCTGGAAGGTGTTTGCAGAGTCCGCCGGTTGCCAGCATGGGGCAGAAGGTGGTGGCCCCAAGCATTACTTTTTAGTGGCTGCATTTTGCATTCGAGCAGCCTGTATGTATGTCCCTGTCTATATAGTATGTATACGTAGCTCTACAGAGAGATACATGTATGTGTATACACAGATCTGTATATATAGAGACATAGATATGTATAATTAATTTAAAAAAAAAAACAGATTGGGCCGGTCCTATTTTGCAAAACCAACTTGAGATCTCCTTGTAAAGAATGCAGTTCTAGAGGGAGGAAAATGGAGTTGGGCGATCAATTAGATTAAAAAATCTGCAGGTGGGCCGCGGACTCGCGCTACATACGGGAGAATTAGCATTTCCTCCAAAGAATTTCGGATGCCCTTTGTGCTAAACTGGATTACAACCATCAACGACTCAGATCCCCAAGTTTCACACAAGGGCCCAGCCCCAGTTTCTAAACTGAAACGACCTCCCCTGGCTGTAATGATTCAATGATTCGGGGAAGAGGGCACTTGGAAGTTCCTATTTTAATTGTGGGAGAGAGGGAAATCTCCTTGATCGTAGTTTTTATGTTGCAGGCCGACTTGCTGTGTTTGGATCTGAGTTTCCGATAGAGAAAGGGGCCCCTTTTGTTCCGTTAAAAAATAAATTGCACAAGTGGGTGTTTGGTCCTTTAAGCCTCTGCTGGCTTCCTCATGGGTGGGGAGTTGGGGAGCCATCTTGGGAGGCAGGAGATGGAGTTAACATTTCCTCTTTTTCAAGGACCTTAGTTTTCTTGGTAGGGTTTTAGAGATGTGCATTCCTATCAGGTATGGCTTTCAGCTGTGTGACCTGCTCGATTTCTCTGAGCTTTTGGATTTTTTTTCCTCTAGTGGAGGTAAAGAGTCTTGCTCAGATGATTTCAACCACAGAGACCCAACTGTGCTGGGAATGTGACGAGTAATTAGTTTTGTTCAAAATAGCCATGTTTTCCATTTTATTTACTTACTGTGTCGAGATGGGTGTGAACTGCTAATTGAGATGATCTGCAGATTTAACTGCAGCCTACGAGGCTGGAGACCTCAAGTACGTTATCTTATTTAATTCTCATTTTTACGAAACCATGGCTCCAGTTGAAATGGCTTGCTCACAGTTGATTCTGGCCATGCTGCAAATCCAAGGGGCTGTTTTTATCATTGGTTATGGGATGGGATTTTTCTATCACTTCCTTTGAGGAAGCCATGATGAGGGGTCGGCTGGTTTAATGTTTGAGATGTGCCTTTTTGGACTTTGGATTAAGGGGTCCATGGGAAGGGAGTTCGAAATAAAGCAGCATTTGCATTTCATGCTCCAGGCCTTATTGCCCTGGGGAAAATGATCTGAAGCGGTCAACAAGTTCCCTTTTTTCATCAGCCCTTAACCTGTTGTACTTTTGATTCTTTAAAGAAACTTCCAAACCATTTTAAAAGTCTCTAAATCCAGACAAGTTCAGCATTTCCAGTCACTACCATCCCTTTTTGTTTTTTCTCCTCAAATGAATTTCACGTCTATGTCAGTCTTTGTTCTGAAGGGACTCGGAAGGAGAAAATAAAACCCCCTGCCTGCATGGAGTTTACAAGCTTGCTTAAAAGATGAGCTCCAGTTGAGGGAAAATAGGACATATCTCTTCATGTAAATAGCAGAACTCATGCTTTCCCAGAGATTAGAGCCCTTTTTGATTCTTGGACTGTTTTTTTCCCTTTTCAGCAGAGCCCCTGAATTTTGATCCAAGACTGTTTGGAACAAGTTTTTAGCTCTTAATTAAGTAGAATTTAATTATAGCTCTACTTTGCCAACCATGAATTGAATTAAAGCCATGTTACTTAAAGTGTTTCTCGGATTGCTGAATTGAGATGTAAAATTAAACTGGTAAATGGGCACTTTCTTTCAACTGGTTCAAAGGACATCTCCATTTCCTTTTGTTTTTTTGGTAAGCAATTATCCTGTGGGTGGGGGAGGGTCGAAGATAGTGTATACTTTAGATAATCTACTCATTGTGGTTCTTTTAATATAGGAATGGGGAAAAAAGATAAGCTTGAGTCATAATGCTTTGCTCAAGATTATACAGGTTTTATTTTTGAAGCATTTTCAAGTCTCCAGAATGTGATTGGCTTCTAGTAGATGAGCTTTTCTTCTATACAATAGTAAGAGTATTTTCTATCCATTTGGCAGTGATTGAATCTAAGACCCCTGCTGGGTTTACTGCATTCTTCCAACTTATTGGATAACTAGATGCTGAGAGATAACATTCCTAAAATTCGGGAGTGGGGGCGGGGTGGAAAGATGGAAGAGCTAGTTGCTGGGTAATCTCTCTCAACTTTGCTTTTCCCTTTTGAGAAGGGCTAACGTGAGCATACCCAGCAATTGTTCATAACCAGAGTCCTCTTACTCTCTGGCAAATACGGATCCGGTATTTACCCAGTATTTGCCGGTGGTGGTCTGGACGTAGAAGCACTTTTTACTGCACAGGACTTCAGAGCTGCTGTTTTAGGACCCAAGTGGGATGTTGCTCGTATTGCATCTAGGCTACAGAAGAGGCCAGGCTGTGTATACAGTGAAGGCAAGCTGGTATTCAGGCTGTAAATCACTCTTGGAAACTGTTAGATCCTTCTAGTGCAGGGAGCTTAACCTTTTTTGTGCCATAGATGCCTTCTCAGCAGAATGTATTTCAATGCGAAAAATAAAAGGCCTCGAAATACCAAGGAAATGGACTACCTTGAAATAGACTTCTTGAAGACACTTGTGATTGTGACTCTTTATGAACACATTAAATAAGATCAGCACGGCCGGTCAGGTAACTACGAGAATTTCTAGTCATGCCACGGCATCCACATTATAGGAAAATATCTGCACTCTGTTGATGACGAAGTTACAGGCTCTGCAGATACCACTGTTTTCTACATTTCAAATGGAAAGAGATGTTAAATTTTAGTTCAGATTAGCGAGAATAAAGATCTCTCTTTTTTTTCCTTACCTAATTTCACGGACTCTAGTTTAAGCATGCTGGTTTCGAACCTGTTTTCAGTGAGGGAATATTATCCCCGAGGGAGGGGGCGTGGTGAGCAGGGGGGGGCAGAAAATGTGATTTCAGTGGTTTGTGGCCTTCTGAAGGACCATAGTGCATAAACACACATAATATATTTGTGGTATTAAAATTTAATGGGGGAGTCGGTGATTAGGAAAGAAGCTTTAAAAGCCTCCATAGAAGGATGAAATGAAAGTTGAGGAGCTCTGTTCTGAAAGAAAGAAACGACAGCACCAAGTTAAGAGCTCTTCTAAATAGTACTTAAACATCCAGTCCCTGATCTTCTTTTCCTGGTTAGTCGTTGGTTACTTTGAGCCACCTAATTATTTCTGCTCCGGCCTCAGTTTCCACATCATTAAATTGGGAACGAAGACTCTTCTTTGATTATGTGACTGCAGAGATGGAGATAAGATGCCCGAGCCTGAAGCGTGTATTTCGTTGCTTGTGGAAGGTGTTGGTCGCTTGCTTTTGCAAGGTAGAACGGGCATTCTTGCATGGCTGCACTGGGAGTTATACCAGAAGTTAGAATTGCGGATCCAAGGGTAGGAATATTCTAAGTAAAAAAAAAAAAAATTTAATGTTTACTGATTTTTGAGAGAGAGGGACACCCAGAATCTGAAGCAGGCTCCAGGCTCTGAGCTGTCAGCACAGAGCCTGACAAGGGGCTCGAACTCCTGAGCCTCACAAGCCGCGAGATCATGACCTGAGCTGATGCTTAACCGACGGAGCTCCCCAGGCATCCCAGGAACATTGCTAATTTAAAGGAGAGCATAGTACAAAAAAGCGTATACTTGAAAAATTTTCTCTTCCACCCTCAATCCCCAGGCACGCACCCTAAGAGCTAGAAAGCCTCCGGGAAACAAATTTTTTCTTTTAGAAAAGTTCCGGGTAACAAATTTGTATCTTTATCCACAAGCACAGATGAGACCACAAGAGAGATACATCCCGCTCTCTACCCATTTTTCCTCCCCTTGAAATAAACCTTGGGCATTTTTCCTCCGGAGCAGCACATGTAACAGATCTGCTTTTATTTTTGTAGGTGACCAAGGGGTCCCCTCCCCCCTCCTTTTTTTCCTGTGCCCTGGTTTATTTAACCAGAACCTTACTGCTTGACCAGAGTGCATCTGTTTTTGTTTTTGTTGTTTGTTAATATGAGAGATGTGCCCTTGTGTTACACGAAGTAAATTCCTCACCAGGGTGAAAGGAGATTCGTGCTCACATGATGCAGCCCTGAGTTCTCTGCAGGAGCCGGATCCTTTTTTACGCATCTACCAACACTGCGTATTTTCCTCCCAAAAAAACCTTTTACGTTTTTTAAAAAAGTTCTGCTTGGGGCACCTGGGTGGCTCAGTCAGTTAAGCATCTGACTTTGGCTCAGGTCATGATCTCACAGTAGTGGGTTTGAGCCCCGCGTCGGGCTCTATGCTGACAGCTCAGAGCCTGGAGCCTGTTTCAGATTCTGTGTCTCCCTCTCTCTCTCTGACCCTCCCCTGCTCCCGCTGTCTCTCTCAGAAATAAATAAAACATTAAAAATTTAAAAAAGAAAAGGTTTCTTCTCCCCAAAAGAAGTTTCCATTAAATAAATAAACAAATAAATAAATTTGAAAGTTCTGCTTTTTCAAGTTCTTGACACATAATTGCCAGGATTGCTTTTCCAGAAAGAGTGCCACTCGGAAAGCGTGGAGATAGATACTGTATTCTGGGAATTGACGTGTGTGTTTACAAATTTCAAAAAAATTTTTTTTATGTTTGTTTTTGAGAGACAGAGCACAAGTGGGGGAGGGGCAGAGAGAAGAGGAGACTCAGAGTCCGAAGCAGGCTCCAGGCTCTGAGCTGTCAGCACAGAGTCCGTCGCAGGGCTCGTACCCACGAACTGTGAGATCATGACCTCAGCCGTAGTCGGACGCTTACCCGAGTGAGCCACCCAGGCGCCCCTACAAATATTTTTAACTTGATTCTTGAAATGTCAGAAGGAAGTACTTCCCTGTTGAGCTCCACCTAGACGTAGAAAGGGTATATTGTCTCCTAACTTATTTTTTTTATTTATTTGTTTTTTTAAAAATTTAATGTTTATCTTTGAGAGAGACAGTGTGAGTGAGCTGGGGAGGAAGGGAGGGAGACCCAGAATCCGAAGCAGGCTCCAGGCTCCGAGCTGTGAGCACAGAGCCCGACTCAGAGCCCGACGTGGGGCTCGGACGCTGAGATCATGACCTGAGCTGAAGTCAGACGCTTGATGGACTGAGCCACCCAGGCGCCCCATACACTGTCCTAGCTTTTTTTTTTTTTTTTTAAATTTCTAGGAGAGAGAGAGAGAGACAGCATGAGCAGGGGAGGGTCAGAGAGAGAGGGAGTCACAGACTGAAGCAGGCTTCAGGCTCTGAGCTGTCAGCACAGAGCCCGACGCGGGGCTCGAACCCACGAACCGTGAGATCATGACCTAAGCGAGTCGGACGCTTAACCGACTAAGCCACCCAGGTGCCCCATTGTGTCCTAGCTTTTAAAGTGACTTCTGGGGGTGCCAGGAAGATGGCAGTGTGCATCCCAGTCTCCTTTCCCCTTTGCCAACCTGACCTTCAGGCCTTTCTGTCCTCCATAGGGGGTCTTTGAGGGGAAATACAGTGGCAATCTCAACAGAAGAAATGTAGTAGGAGGTATAGGCACCAAGAAGGATCTGGGTGCTGTTGCCTGGCTTTAATATTGGCCCTGCAGTTTATCAGATGTATTACCTTGGGCAGATCCATGTCTCCTGTGCCTCAGTTTCCCCCTCTGTTACATAATAGCCCCTACCTCATAGAGTTGTTGATAACCTATAAATTGTTTAGAGTTACACCTAGATGGGGGCCCAGGGTGACTCAGGAGATGGAGCCCCGAGTTGGGCTGTGCGCCGACAGCATGGAGCCTGCTTGGAATTATCTCCCCCCACCGCCCCTCCCATGCTCTTGCTTGCTCTCTCTGGCGCGCTCTCTCTCTCTCTCTCTTTCCTAAAATAAACTTTTAAAAAAGAATTAGGCCTAGCACATAGTAAGTACTCAAAAGCTATCTATGACTTTTTTTTTTTTAATGTTTATTTCTGAGAGAGAGAGAGCCAGCGTGAGCAGGGGAGGGGCAGAGAGAGAGGGAGATACAGAATCCAAAGCAGGCTCCAGGCTCCCAGCTGTCAGCACAGAGCCCAACGCAGGGCTCGAACCCACGAACCGTGAGATCATGACCTGAGCCGCAGTCAGTCGGACGCTCAACCGACCGACCGACCGACCGGCCGACCAACCAAGCCACCCAGGCTCCCAGATCTATGACTATTTTTGTGTTGCCCTGAGCAAGTCACAATACTTAGTTTGTTTTTCTTGGGGCCAGTATTTAATAGGATTAAATGATACACAATGGGGCACCTAGAAGTCCCTAGTCCAAACTGTAGCAGGATCTAAGGCTCATTTTTTCAGGGTTGGATGGCTAGCGCCCCTACCTCACACACAGTAGGGGGTGGGAACTGTTAGTGGGGCATCGGCTGACCATTGTTCTAAGTTCTCCCACAGCCTTAGTTGCCCAGCATAACCATTGAGCCATTAGAGATAAAAGAGCTGGAGAAACTAATGTTCGATGAACACCCACAATATCTGCACTTTCCCCGTATCCCACCCAGGATGGTTCCAGGCACGTGAGTGGTACTTGGCTCCTTTGTTAAGTTAATCGCGTCACGCAACCCAGGCATATCTACCTTATGAGGGTGTCGTGGTCTGCATGTTTCAGGCAAATTCGGATGGTAAGGCTACCATGTTATCAAACCTGTTTACAGGGGAATGCTGGATCAGCCCTCACGTGATTCCCTACCCTGGCCACACCTGTTAATGGTTGTTGGCTCTTTCTCCTTGGCCCACCCCCCACCCATACACACCTTGCAAACTGCATATTACCGGGTCTAAAATGTGTAAAGCTTAGGCCACCTTATATAAATTTTAAAAGAGAAATAAGCTTTTTTTCTTTTTTCTTTTCAAGATGAATTGCTCCTTCCTACTGAGGGTCACCTGTCAAAAAAAAAACCCATAGTTTGGGGGAGCATAATCACCCAAGAAGGAGTTGAGAAGCAAAATTCGTTTGCTTTAGGAAGCAAATAATTTAGCTAAAAGTAATGTATATCTTTCTTGGCCTTTCCTCCATGCATTTGTACATTTCAAACAGGTTTTAAACAAAACTGGTCACCCTTTTACGTACCGGTCAGCAGCCGGTTTCTTTCCCCTAACTTCTGTCTCCATGTCAAAGGGCATAGAAGTTCCTACAGTTTTTGGTCTATGGGTGAATCAAAATTTACTTTTGCTGCTGTAAACATAAAAAGAAATTCCCTTCTTCGATGGATCTTTGTATGTTTGTGCAATTATTTGTGTGACTTAGATCTGTATGGCTACAGGTTGCTGGCTCTGAGGTATACCCCGTCTATGAGCGGGTGGGGTGTACATAGATTTGGAGAGTCAGGAGATGAAAGCAATAAAGGACCCAGGCATCCAGATAAAGCAGTCCCCAAGGTGGGCATTGTATTTTTTTTTATTATTTTTTAATGTTTTCATTTGTTTTCGAGAGATACAGTGTGAGCGGGGAAGGGGCGGGGAAAGGGGAGCCACAGGATCTGAAGCAGGTTCCAGGCTCTGAGCTGTCAGCACAGAGCCCGATGTAGGGCTCGAACTCAAGGAACTGTGCAATCCTGACCTGAGCCGGAGTGGGACGCTCTACCGAGTGAGCCACCCAGGTGCCCCCAAGATGGGCATTTTAATGTGCAGGCTATCATTAACCCTGAAGGAAATAGTACCTAATCTACACACACACACACACACACACACACACACACACACACACACGGAAATCCACAGACCAATCCTTTTTAGGAATGTAACTGTCCAGAATTGATCCTGCGTGTTTAATTTCAGATATATAACAGTAGTAGAAGGTGCAAGTCCAGGGAGAGGAGTGAAACCCTTCATTCCCATCCCCTCTTTCCATTCTGGGGCTTCTCTCATTATCTGTAAGGTCATTGAAGTCTTTTTCTGTGGTCATGCCTTCCTTGAAATGAGATCTTTTGTCAGTGTCTCCTATGAAAGTATTTCTGGGACCATCTGCTTTAGCCCTTCCAGTCTGAATGTACCCGGTGTGCATTTCTCCGTATTTTCAGTAAATTTGTCGCTGCTGTCGTTGTGGGCATCTTTAAAGTGGGAAGGTGACTTGTTAAGCTGAATCAGAATGATTTACTGCAATTTCGCTTTCGGTGGCCCCAGGATGGAGATTAGGAGCCCTGGTTTGAGCAGGTTTCCAATGTCATTTGTATTGACTCCTTGAAGTTCATTTGCCTTTGCAGGCAGACGCATGTGGGGCGCAGAGCTCTAAGGGGATTATTTTAATAATAAATTGTGAGTTTCCTAGGATTGCCATAACAAATTGCTGCGAATTAGATGGCTTAAAGCAAAAGAAATTTAGGGGCCCCTGGGTGGCTCAGTAGGTTAAGGGTCTGACTCAAGCTCGGGGGGTCGAGCCCTGGGTCAGGCTCCGTGCTGACAGCTCAAAGCCTGGCACCTGCTTCAGGATTCTGTGTCTCCCTCTCTTCTCTGCCCTGACCCCTCTCAAGCTCGGTCTCTCTCAACAATAAACAAACATTTAAAAAAACTTTTTTAAAAACCCAGAAATTTAGGGGCGCCTGGGTGGCTCAGTCAGTAAAGCATCTGACTTTGGCTCCTGTCATGATCTCACGGATCGTGGGTTCGAGCCCCGTGCCGGGCTCTGTGATACTGACAGCTCAGAGCCTGGAGCCTGCTTTGGATTCTGTGTCTCCCTATCTTTCTCTGCCCCTCCTCTGCTCACTCTGTTTCTCTCTCTCAAAAATAAATAAACATTAAAAAAAAATTGTTAAAGCCCCAGAAATTTAACCTTTCTGGAGTCCAGACATCTGAAATGGAGCCATCAGTGGGGTCAGTTCCTTCTGGAGACTCTGAGGAAGAAACCATTTCAGGCCTCCTTTCCACCTTCTGATGGCTTCTCACAATCCTTGCATATAGCCCTGTAAATCTTTGGCGTGGCTTTATTCTGTTTCATCTCTTCTTTCCCCTCTTTAAGAACAGCAGGCATCAGGGTAGGGACTCCCCCCAATTATATTTGCAAAGACCCTGTTCCGAACAAGGTCACATGCACAGGTATTGGCTATAACGACTTGGACTTAACCTTGGGGTGGGGGGAGGGGGGCCACAATCCAACCCCCTACCTAAGTTCCCCTCTACACTCCTCTGCCTGCTGGACACAGGTCACCAGGGCCTCTGCATTGTGAGTCGTGGCTCTTCCCTAGACGTTGCCCCACGTCCCATGTCGGGCAGAATTCTTAGCTTCTTCTCTCTTGTCCCAGGCGCTCCGATGAACCACCCCGGGAATGGCCACGAAGCCAGCAGGGCTGGGATGTCAGGCAAAAGGCCCCGTCGGGAGGAGACGCACGTCTGCGAGAAATGCTGCGCGGAGTTCTTCAGCCTCTCCGAGTTCTCGGAACATAAGAAAAATTGCACTAAAACCCCCCCTGTCCTCATCATGAGCGACAGCGAGGGGCCAGTGCCTTCGGAAGACTTCTCCGGGGCGGTGCTGGGCCACCCGCCACCCAGCCCGGGCAGCAAGGGCAGCCCCAGGGAGGAGGGCGGCAGCTCGGGGGACGCCAGGGAGAAGCCGGGCGTCGAGCCTGTCGTGTTCCTGAAGACGGGGACCGCGCCGCCCGCGCCCCAGGACCTCGGCTACTTACCCAAGGGCAAAGTGGCCAACACGAACGTCACCCTGCAGGCGCTGCGGGGCACCAAGGTGGCCGTGAACCAGCGCAGCGCGGACGCGCCCCCGGCCCCCGGGCCCGGCGCCAGCAGCCTCCCGTGGGTCCTCGAGCAGATCTTGTGCCTCCAGCAGCAGCAGCTGCAGCAGATCCAGCTCACCGAGCAGATCCGCGTGCAGGTGAACATGTGGGCCTCGCACGCCCTCCACTCCGGCGCGGCGGGAGCCGACGCCCTCAAGACCTTGGGCAGCCACGTGTCCCAGCAGGTGTCTGCGGCCGTGGCTTTGCTCAGCCAGAAAGCCGGAAGCCAGGGCCTGGCCCTGGACGCCCTGAAACAAGCCAAGCTACCTCACGCGAACGTCCCCGCCGCGAGCGGCGCCGTGTCCCCGGGGCTGGCGCCCTTCGCCCTGAAGCCCGACGGCGCGAGGGTGCTGCCGAACGTGGTGTCGCGTCTTCCCGGCGCCCTGCTACCTCAGGCCCCCGGCTCTGTGCTCTTCCAGAGCCCTTTCTCCACCGTGGCGTTAGACCCGTCCAAGAAAGGGAAGGGGAAGCCACCGAACGTGTCCCCCGTGGAGGTCAGACCCAAAGACGAGGCCGTCCTCTGCAAGCACAAGTGTAAGTACTGTAGCAAGGTTTTTGGGACTGATAGCTCCTTGCAGATCCACCTCCGCTCCCATACCGGAGAGAGACCCTTCGTGTGCTCTGTCTGCGGCCATCGCTTCACCACCAAGGGCAACCTCAAGGTGCACTTTCATCGACACCCCCAGGTGAAGGCAAACCCCCAGCTGTTTGCCGAGTCCCACGACAAAATGGCAGCAGGCAATGGCATTCCCTACGCACTCTCTGTACCCGTCCCCATAGATGAGTCGAGTCTCTCACTAGACAGCAAACCCGTCCTGGTGACAGGGACCCCCAGTGGAGGGCTACCTCAGAGTCGCTTTTCAGGGACTAACCCCAAGGACCTCCTGGGCGGCCCCTTGCCCGGCGACCTGCAGCCCGGGCCTTCTCCGGAAAGTGAGGACGGAGCCCTGCTGTCGGGGGTGGGGCCAAACCACAGTTCCCCAAGGGTTGGTGGCTTCCAAGGGAGCGGGACCCCCGAGCCGGGGTCCGAGACCCTGAAGTTGCAGCAGCTGGTGGAGAACATCGACAAGGCCACCAGCGACCCCAACGAGTGTCTCATTTGCCACCGGGTCCTGAGCTGCCAGAGCTCGCTCAAGATGCATTACCGCACCCACACCGGGGAGAGGCCGTTCCAGTGCAAGATCTGCGGGCGAGCCTTCTCCACCAAGGGCAACCTGAAGACGCACCTCGGGGTCCACCGAACCACCACGTCCGTCAAGACGCAGCATTCGTGCCCCATCTGCCAGAAGAAGTTTACCAACGCGGTCCTGCTGCAGCAGCACATCCGGATGCACATGGGCGGCCAGATTCCCAACACGCCTCTGCCCGAGAACCCCTGCGACTTCGCGGGCCCCGAGCCGGGGATGCTCAGCGAGAACGGCAGCGCGGGGCCCGTCTGCCACGACGACCCGATCGAAAGCATCGATGTTGCCGAGGCCAGCCCCCAGGACGCCCCCGGTAGCTCCTTGAAGGTCCCCGCGCCACTTCCCGGCGTGCAGTCCGCCTCCCCCACTCCCGGGTTCGCCGGGACGGCCTCCCTAGACGCCCCCGGGAGGCTGGCTCCCGCTCCTCTCGCCCTGCAGCGGCAAAGCAGCAGAGAAAACGGCTCGGTGGAGAGCGACGGCCTGACCAACGACTCGTCTTCCTCGGTGATGGGAGACCCCGAGTACCAGAGCCGAAGTCCCGACGTCCTGGAGACCGTGTGCTTCCAGGCACTCTCCCCGGCCAATAGCCAGGCAGAAAGCGTCAAGTCCCGATCTCCCGATGCCGCTGGCAAAGCAGACGGCGCCGAGAACAGCCGCACTGAGATGGAAGGTGATAGAGCTTTGGATTTAACTTAGGTCCATTGTGGGCGCCCAGTCATCCCAGAGGAGCCCGGGTTGAACTTTACAAACGGACAGCGTGATCTGTGCAAAGGAGTGCTCCCTGGGAGGGCAGTGAGCCTCTCTGTACCTCTGGGTAGAGGGAAATAATAAACTCCCTCTGTCTTAGTACTCACATCTTTTTATTTATGGTGGTTAATGCAAATTGGGGATGGACAGCACCCTTGGTGGGTTTTGTTTTGTTGTTTTTTTGTTTTGTTTTGTTTTGTTTTGTTTTTTACTCTTGTGTTGGAGTCCCGGGGAGACATTCGGGTGATCTTCAGGGGATGGGCCAGCAGGAAGAAGTGGGTGCACGGCTTTTTGGCCACCGAGATAATCAGTAGTTCCTTGATCCTGAGGTCCCGCTCCCTGATGTAAGGCTCACAGGCTAATCACTCTTGACAGGGGGAGGAAGAGCCTAACCCATTTATAAACGCACATATAAATTATGGGGTTACCTGCTGAGGTCGTTAAGATTTCTTTTGAGGTAGTCTCTGCACCCACCGTGGGGCTCAAACTCCTGACCCAGAGCCCGGGAGTCGCGTGCTCCACCGACTGAGCCAGCCAGGCGCCCCTTAAAGAGAACTTTTTATGCAGGAACTTGAATTTCAGGTGTTGGTGTGCTGCCCGTACCTTTATGCCCAAACGCTGACTTTGCCGAAGTGTTTGAGTTGTCCTTCCCGGTGCAGGTCAACATGCTAAAGAGGAGAAACTGCCTCCGAGGCACACGATTCCAGAAAGCCGCTCCCAGGCTGTCAGTGGGCAAATTGTCATCACAGCTCTTTTTTCGTTTGAGAAGGAGTGAGTACAGGATGATAAAGGTTTGGGGTTTCTTTTCTCTGGATACTAGGTCGTAGCAGCCTGCCGTCAACATTTATCCGCGCCCAGCCAGCCTATGTCAAAGTCGAAGTCCCTGGTGCGTTTGTCGGACCCGCGACCATGTCCACGGGCATGACTCCTCTGTTGGCAGCCCAGCCACGCCGACAGGCCAAACAGCATGGCTGCACGCGGTGCGGGAAGAACTTCTCCTCGGCGAGCGCCCTTCAGATTCACGAGAGGACTCACACTGGGGAGAAGCCTTTCGTGTGTAACATATGCGGGCGAGCTTTTACCACCAAAGGCAACCTGAAGGTGAGTTTCTTGAGCTGTCCGCAGGGGTGGGGCTCCATGGTGAGCAGCACGTCTCCTTGCCCTTCCCCTTTCGTGATGAATTCTTCCACTAAGACCAGGTGGGATGGGGCGCCTGGGTGGCTCAGTCAGTTAAGCGTCCTACTTCAGCTCAGGTCATGATCTCATGGTTCATGGGTTCGAGCCCCATGTCGGGCTCTGTGCTGACAGCTCGGAGCCTGGCGCCTGCTTCAGATTCTGTGTCTCCCTCTGTCTCTGTCCCTCCCTGCTTGCGCTCTGTCTCTAACAATAAGCGTTTAAAAAAACAAAAGACCAGATGGGATACATACAGTATAGTCATACCTCACAGCCAGCTCTCGAAATAATTCATTAGACAGTATGTTTTCTCACATCACATCTCTGAAATCAGGATACTTCTGAAATTGGTAGTCTTTTTTTTTTTTTTTCTGATCTGCATTTGACATTTTACAAATCATGCCCTCTAGGAATAATAAGACACTAGGTCTGTTGGATGCTTTTGTCTCTTAGTATTAAATGGTTATGCTTTGGGGTAGTTTTCCCTCCAGTACCGGGGCAGATCATGACCTCTCTTGACAATAATTGAGTGGATAGGTAAAATGTAGCCTGGAAACCGATAAGTGGCACATGGTGTAATATATTGATAAATCACTTAGGGATTTGTGTGTACATCCAGACTTGATGAGTACCCCATATGTTTCATTTTCATAGTCGGCTAGGTTGAAATAAATACCAAGAGTAAACATCTCTAGGATACAGTACAGTTAAAAAGAAAAAAGGCTCCAGGTTATCATCTGTGCTTTCCAGCCTGAGCGACTGGGTCCTTCTGGAGAATAGCCTAATACCTGTTGGGAGATTCCACCTAAGATTTTTACCTGGGGAGATGGGAAGGAGACCGCCCCATAAGGCCTGAAAGTGGCCTCTGTAAGAAGAAGGGATGAGGATTGGGGACCTGGGTTTTGTCTTTGGCCCTGCCTGTGGTTGGTGGCAGATGGGTCTCTGGGTCTCTACTTCTCTCCCATGAGTGACTAATTAAATTCTTTGTGGTTCATAAAAAGGTTGAAACTTCTTAGAGTCAACCGAGGAGACTGTGTATCATTTATTTTTAAAGATTGTTTTTGAGAAAGAGTACAAGTAGGTGAGGGGAGGGAGGAACGAGAAGGTTGCACTGACAGCAGAGAGCCCAATGTGGGGCTCGAACTCACGAACTGAGAGATCTCGATCCTAGTCGATGCTCAACCGACTGAGCCACCCAGGTGCCCCCAAGCTGCTATTCTTTTAATTTTTTAGTTTAGTTGGTGAAAATGACTAGGTAAGGAGCATGAAGTGACTTCATCTCTAATACCAGCGTCTAGAAATAGAAAGCTTAAATTACTTCAGGCCCTGGGATCAGCACAGGTCTGGAGCTTTTTTCCCCCCTTCTTCTCTCTGCACAAGCTGCTTTGGGCAGATAGCTCCCTGTGCCTCAGTTTCCCAGGCATGGCAGTAATGGCAGTGAGAACTTCAGAGTGGTCCTGAAGATTAAATGCATTGTAGTCCTAAAGTGTTTCAAATTATGCCTGGAACATCTTAACAGCTTGTAGCGATTAAGAGCAAGTCACTGGTGAGCCCACTTGGTAAGAGAACTTACTTGACTTCTCAGGACGCCGGTAGAGATGAAATGAGGTACCTGAGGAACATAGTGCCCACCGCATTCTGCTGACATTTTTTTCTTAAGTTTGTTTTGAGAGAGACAATGGGGAAGGAGCAGAGAGCATTCCAAACAGGCTCCAGGCTGTCAGCACAGAGCCTGATGGAGGGCTCGAACCCACAAACTGAGATCATGACCTGAGCCCAAATCAAGAGTTGGTGCTTAATCAACTGAGCCACCCAGGCACCCCTCTTCCAACTCTTTTTAAAGAAGCTGAAAGGGATTTAGAAACTCAGAAGGCAGACTGGGAAAACAAAGAAAGGAGGCCAAATGGAAGAAGCACTATTAGCAGGAGTACCATCATCAGAAGAGCCCTTGCCTTGTCCACCACCCTAGAATCAATAGCACTCATTCCCCGTGATGGCCTTCCCTGACCACCCCATCAAGGACTTGCTTTCCAACTCTGGAGCAGTGATGACGGTCATTGACGTACTGGGTGTTTGGTATATCCGCGCCATCAGGGCAGCGGCTGTTCTATTCCAGAGTTATTTTTTTATTTTATTTTATTTTTATTTTTTAAAAAGTGTTTTATTTCTGAGAGAGAATGAGAGAGACAGCGTGAGCAGGGGAGGGTCAGAGAGAGAGGGAGTCACAGACCGAAACAGGCTCCAGGCTCCAGGCTCCGAGCTGGCAGTCAGCACGGAGCCCGATGCGGGGCTCGAACCCACGAACCGCGAGATCATGACCTAAGCGAAAGTCGGACGCTTAACTGACTAAGCCACCCAGGCGCCCCGATACCTGGAGGCTTCAGACCCGTAGGCAGACGGCTGGCTTGCTGTTAGATCCCTGTTTTGGTGGAAACCTCTTCTCCTGTTCCCCTAGGTCCACTACATGACGCACGGAGCCAACAGTAGTTCTGCGCGCCGAGGGAGGAAGCTGGCCATCGAGAACACCATGGCTCTGTTAGGGACTGATGGGAAGAGAGTCCCCGAGATGTTCCCCAAGGAAATCCTGGCCCCCTCGGTGAACGTGGACCCTGTCGTGTGGAATCAGTACACCACCATGCTCAACGGGGGTCTGGCCATGAAGACCAATGAGATCTCCGTGATCCAGAGCGGCGGCATCCCCACCCTCCCGGTTTCCCTGGGGGCCAGCTCCGTTGTGAACAACACCACCATCTCCAAGATGGACGGTTCCCAGTCCGCCCTCAGTGCCGAAGTGGAAAAACCAGGTGCTGCTGACAGTGTCCCCAAACACCAGTTCCCTCACTTCCTGGAGGAAAACAAGATCGCAGTCAGCTAAGCTCAGGAGCTCAGGAGCGCCCTTGGTGAAGGAGAAATGCAGGCAGAATGACCTCCCGAACTGGACTTTTTTTTTTTTTTTTTTTTACCTTTTTAAAAGAACCCATCCCCTCCTGTTTGTTTTCTTACTGACGTGCAAATGATGTTTACAGTTGTGATCACAACCTCAGGCAAATCCTACAATCAGATGTTATGCTGCTTTGCAGGAAAAAAATGGAAAAAAAAATGAAAAAAGAAAAACGAAAAACAAAAAAAACGAAAAAAAAGAAAAAATGCATACTAAAACAAAAACAGACTAGAATTTTTTTTTTTTTTTTAAATGTTGGAAAGAAGCGGGTCTGGCAAAGTAGCTTTGTTACTTGCGACAAACTATACATGAAACATTTGTACAACCTAGAGTAACTATTTCCAAAGAGGATCCCGGTTGTTTCCAGTTGGAGCTTCCCATAGTGGAAAAGACGACTGTTAGCTTCATTGTGGGGGGTGCTCTATACGTCCCCCCGCGGCTGTCTGTATGCGGGTACGTGGACAAGATACGGCATCTGTTTAGGGACCTGTTTTGAATGGCCCCCCAGCTCTGCACCCATCCTCCGTTCCTCCCCCCAGAATGTACTTTTTTTTTTTTTTTTTTTATAACCAAGGTTGCCAACGAATTCCAAAATTCCTTCAGCCTTGGAACCTCCGATAGAATACCCTCAGATGGACTGATTTTAGTCCTTAGGGAGTCAATGCTTGTTGCTGCTTATTTAAAAATATAGTTCGGTTGGAACCCGAGAGTGCCAATGTACTCCCTACGCTTTCCAAACGCCTCCCTCCTGAGCCACCAGGAGAGGCAGGCGCCGGTGCAGAGACCCTCAGGTGACTTACTTTGGTTCGCCAGTGCCTACCGCGTTGAAGAACTGGGTTTCCGTTCTTTAAGAAACTCATGGAAGAACATGTGTCTCATAGGTACACATACCAATTTGTACGCCTCCGAATTTGTACAGAAGTGTCCTCGGTGCAACTTAAATGCCAAGTAATTATGAAGATTGTTGTTGAGTATTGCATGAAGGCTACGAAGTTGGAACAGGCAAGTCATGGGTGTGAAAGCTTTAATTTATCTACCTCATTTATTTTTATTTTTGTAGCCATAGTCTATTTTCCTATTTCGTGACCGCTAAAGTGTTCCGATGCCCTGTCTTCAACCGGAGTTGATGTACAGCGGGAACAACTGAACATTCAAGATACCGTTATTGTTCTTCGTTTTAAGCCCCCCTCCCCCTTTTTGTATACATAATATGAAGCGAATGAGGACACCTTGCTCTAACGGTATAACAAGGAAGGAGAGAGAAAGACCTTTATTTCTGAGGGGACAAGTCTCCTTCTATGTGGAAAAGTAGACCAAGAACTGTTATCAAAAGTTTGTCTGTGTTATTGCACCTGACTTTAGGATCCAAAAAAAAAATTTTTTTTTGCCATGTTGTGCCTTTCCTCCTAAAATTGTATAAGATGAACACAATGCTAGTACCTGTTTACACTGTGAAGTGGATATTGTTACAGAGAACACACCGGAGGCTTTCTCACTGTTAAGCGAATAATGCCTTGTGAATGTATGATCTATGGAGAAACCCCTGTAGTTTTACCTGCTGATGCTGTCTGTTTTGTTGGAGAATAAATTTTGGTTGTTGTTGTTTTTTTCTTTCCCCCACCAGGTGCGTGTGTCTCTGGTTAGTTTTTACTCTACGCCTGAGGGCTCTGATCTTAACAATCCACTTGCCCTCATGATCCCCGTCCCCGGCCTTAGAATTGAAGATAGATCCAGTTCTATCCATGCTGCACCCATTTCTTTTTTTTTCTTTTTTTTCTTTTACAGTTTATTGTCAAGTTGGTTTCCATATAACACCCAGTGCTCATCCCCACAAGTGCCCTCCTCCGTGCCCATCCCCCCCTTCCCCTCCCCCCCCACCCCATCTGCCCTCAGTTTGTTCTCAGCATTCAAGAGTCTCTCTCATGGTTTGCCTCCCTCCCTCTCCCCCACTATTTTCTCCCCTTCTCTTCCCCCACGGTCCTCCGATAAGTTCCTCCTAATCCTCCTATACGTGCAAACATGATATTTGTCCTTCTCTGCCTGACTTATTTCGCTCAGCATAACACCCTCAAGGTCCATCCATGGTGCTACACATGGCCAGATTTCATTCTTTCTCATTGCCATGTAGTGTTCCATCGTATAGATAAACCACATCTTCTTGATCCATTCATCTGTTGATGGACACTTAGGCTCTTTCCATGTTTTGGCTGTTGTTGAGAGTGCTGCTGTGAACATTGGGGTCCATGTGCCCCTGTGCACCAGCACTCCTGTATCCCTCGGGTAAATTCCTAGCAGTGCTATTGCTGGGTCCTAGGGGAGTTCTAGTGTTCATTTTTTGAGGAACCTCCACCCTGTTTTCCAAAGGGGCTGCACCAGTTTACATCCCACCAACAGTGTAAGAGGGCCCGTTTCCCCACATCCCCGCCAGCATCTAGAGTCTCCTGATTTGTTCATGTCAGCCACTCTGACCGGCGTGAGGTGGAATCTCAGTGTGGTTTTGGTTTGTTTTTCCCCGATGAGTGACGCTGAGCATCGTTCCGTGTGTCTGTGGGCCATCTGGATTGGACCCGTTTCTCAAGCACACACAAAGCACGTTGCTGGTGCTTCTCTTTCTTTAGGCATAGAAGTTGTGTCAGAGTAAACTCTGGCTAGGGAACTTTCGCTTCTGTTCCTTTGTGACCACGGAAGGCTTGCCATGCTGTAGATTACCCCAGATGTCAATCCTCAACATGGTACAAGTCATTGGGCAGAGACCATATTTTTTACTGAAGGGACAGCTGAGAATCGCATAGGAGGTGGCACTTAATTCCAAGATTCTTTGAGAGGGTGGTGGCGAAAGGACCCCCTGGGGAGACACAAAGTCAAGACCAGGTTAGTGTGCTACTGGGGAAGTACCCAGTCACCTCCCTTTTGATCTGTTTCTCTGTGCAAACCCGGGGACAAGAACTAGCATCGGGTTCTAGGAGAATCTCTATGGATGTGGATGTGACTCTGAATGGATCCTGACATCGGGAGAAGCCTGGCGTTACATTCCCATGGCCTTTAACCTGACAGGAGCCGTGCGTGGCACCTTCCTTTGCAGGTGGGCCCTCTCCAAGGTTTGTCTGTCCTTTGGCCTCAACTCCTAAATCTTGAGGGAGTGGTCACTCTTGACCCTGAAAGCAAGATTAACCAGGTCCTTCAGATAATTGAAATGGAGGTATTTAAACCAATATGCCCCGATCCCAAGTATCTGTACTGACCCCTTCTCCCGCTTGATAACTAACCCACAGTGAAGTCTGAGGTCTAGATTGAAATGTATGAGAATTATTTTTACTTTAGTAAAACTTTCTTCTACCGCCATACTCCAGACCTTGTTCCGAGGTAAATCCTTGTTAAATACCCACAACAGTACCCAAATGTTAAATCAGCTGTTGCTAAACAATGCTCCTTATTGTCCCTCAAACTGTTAAATAGCTTTGGTCCTCATTGCGGCATAGTTTTCTTTCCACCCAGTTAACCGCGCGGTAAATTCCCCCTTGAGGGATTGCTGCGGCAAAGATGAATGTTTCCGTGTGTGGTTCAGTTGTGCGTGTTGTGTGTTGTGTCTATGCCTATTCTCGGCCCTAATCTTTGAAGCTACTCTTCCACTAGATTGTGATGTGAGCACACTACCGTCCATGGTCTAGTGCATTGCGTCCGTGTTTAAGAATCAGTACGGGTGCCCTGAAACGCCCTTTTGAGACCTGCCTACCTCTTTTATTTTCCTTTATGGGTTCTGTGTATTCAAAGCTCTTTTTAATTAAAAAAAAAAAAGTTTTAATGTTTGCTTCTTTTTGAGAGAGAGTGGGTGGGGGGAGGAGCGAAGAGAGAAAGGGAGACACAAGCTGAAGCAGGCTCCAGGCTTAGCTGTCAGCACAAAGCCAGACACAGGGCTTGAACTAGTGCTCTGTGATATCATGACCTGAACCGAAGTCAGACGCTTCACCAACTGAGCCACTCAGGCACCCCTAAAGCTCTTTTTTCATAGTGGATGGAGAATTTAAGGGAATCTCAACATCTTTAAGGATAAACTGGCAATTGTAGCTCAGTGAGAGTCGGGGAGAGTGAGAAAAAACTTCCATGTTTCCCCCTGACCCGCTGCCTTCAGTTTCAAGACCAGTGTTCTGGGAGAAGGAATTGTTGCTTTGTATGGGGTAGTTGCGTTTGTAGAGTGGGTCTGGGGGAGTGGGGGCAGACCCCTCCCTCCAGGTGAAGTTTGTATTTTGTTTGGCAGGCAGAACTTGCCTAAGAGCTGTGCAGAACGGAAGGCAGTGTGAGGAAGGTGGTGTGGCCTTTCCCGTTCTGTCTGGGAGCACCAGGTTGAGCCAGGTAACACTCCAGCTAAACCACAACATCAAGGAATGTGTTGTGCTATCTGCACGTTTACAGGAAGTTCTTCAGTTTCAAAGGGAGCTCTCAGAGCAATATGACCTGCTGTGTACAATGCAGCAGATAGCTTGAGCCCAAGTTCATGCACGGTGGCATACACAGAATGCCCAGAAACCATCAGATTTGATGATCCAGGTACATTTCACATCTGGGGAAGGGATGTGTTCACGAGATAACCAGCTGGTCATTTGGAAAGAGTCCCAGGTCAACACACAGGCCAGGTGCCCTACGGCAAGATAATTTGTAGAACCTCAAATACCTTCCCTGCACACTGGGGATGATATTTGATTTAGAGGATTATGGTGAGGTTACACAAGAGCATAGAAACATTTCATGTAAGACCCAGGAAGCGTTCGGTATGGTGGTCACCCTTTTCTCTCCTGTTTGGCTCAGAAAATCAACACCATCCTTAGGTGGAATTTGTCTCAACTCTGGATCAGGTAGGTTCTCTTGATTCAGTATGTTGACACTGAAGGAGTAGGTCACATGGGTCAGGAGATGCAGCTTTATCGTGAAGATGATGTTCCTTTCTGCAGCTCGTTAACCCGGGGGGCGTGCGTGCGATGGCACATTTCATCATTCCCTGGTTGATCGCTTTGAAGATGGAGGTAAAGTGCGGGGGGGGGGGGAAGTAGGCCAGTGGGAGTAATTTTTAAGGTGGGTGTTTTCTGTGCCTTCGAAATAGGTTCACATAATCAGCTGGGTTTCCGTAGCGTTCCCACATTTCACCGATTTCCTCCATGTACACGTTATCCCCTCCCATTGACACGTGGATGTGTGTGGTTGGAAGTTACAAAATGGCAGAACGCTGCTCTCCTGGGCCCATTCGTCCATGCTTGGGGAGTTCATTCTGAGTCTATCAAAAAGCCGTGTATTTGGCTAACCCTGTGTTTCTGACCTTGTATTGAGTTCAGATCCGAACACCGCAGCAGCTAGTTCACACCTTTGCTTTCTTCTTGCCTTGGTGTTGCTCATCTATGTTACAGCTTCTGCAACCAAATGTATTCACTTAAGGAAAGTGCTTTTTCCAGCGGGGAAAAGCCTAAGCTTTCTTGTGGAGCCTAGAACCCACCAGTTTCTCAGTACTGTTCTCTTGTTTCCAAACAAAACCATGAAGCACTTAAGAAATGCCCGTTTCTGGGGCGCCTGGGTGGCTCAGTCGGTTAAGCATCCGACTTCGGCTCAGGTCATGATCTCGCGGTTTGTGGGTTCGAACCCTGCGTTGGGCTCTGTGCTGACAGCTCAGAGCCTGGAGCCTGCTTCAGATTCTGTTGTCTCTCTCTCTGCCCCCTACCCTGCTCATGCTCTGTCTCTAGAAATTAACATTAAAAATTTTTAAAATAATAAATGCCATTTCTCTTTTTTTTAATCTGTTATTTAATTCCTTTTGCATAACAAATATATTTCCTTGGCCACCTATTTTATTTGAGGTTACAGGCAGTACATTAGCCCTAAATGGCAGAGAATGTCATTTAATCTTTCAAAAGTACCTAAAAGTGAATGAATCTTGAAGTGAAAATTCAAAAGTGAATTCTCTAGGAAAAAGGTTTAGATAGAAAATTAAAGCACATTTTGCCATAAAATATAACTGTCGGAGTGGTATGACCCCATGTGTGAATTATGATTGTAGTTTTTATTTTTTTAAATTGAGGTATATTTGACATATAATATTAGCGTCAGGTGTACAAACTAATGATTGTGCATTGTGAAACGATCACAATAATTAGGAATGCCCATTTTTGTTTAAAGAAAATGGGTTGCTTCCAAAGTGATCAGTCTAATATGCCCAAAGAAGCCATTGCTTTTGGTCACATATGGCTGTTGTTTAGGGATTTATGTTCTTGGCACACATGAATTTTTTTTTTTTTTTGCCCCAAACAAAAACAAAAGCCCAAACCAAAAAAAAAGAAAAAAAAAAAAAGCCCTAGGTCCTTATCACTTGGCTGTAACCAATTCCCACTATTCCTTTTTTGTTTTTTAATTTTTTTAATGTTTAAAGAGAGACAGAGTGCAAGTGGGGGAGGGGCAGAGAGAGAGGGAGACAGAATCTGAAGCAGGATCCAGGCTCTGAGCTGTCAGCACAGAGCCTGACACGGGGCTCGAACCCAGGATCATGACCTGAGCTGAAGTCAGATACTCAACCAACTGAGCCACCCTGGTGCCCCTTGGTTTTGTTTTCCTAACTTTTGCTATTACTCTGATAGCTTTCA